CTGTCACCCTGAGAATGAGAGGCCCTCACAGCCCGGCCTCGTCTGTATGCCTGTCCCAGGGCGGTTTCAGGTGCAGGAGGGGAGACTCTCTCTTCCTGAGGTGGCAGGTCAGCTGGTGGTTCATGCTGGTAGAAAGAGAGAAATAACTGGTTAGGCTTGTGAAAGACAATAGAGAGACTACATAATACACACATGTAGTAAGAAGCCAAAATGAACTTACCCTAGGACTAGGAAAATTAAAGTCCATAGATCCAATCTCCATTGGGCTGTAACAGCTGCAGGGGGATGAGCTGCTGGTCATCTGAAAAGACATTAACAGAGCAGAATCAGAACCGCTTCAAGTAATTGATTTGCTTAATTCTGAAAACATGTACGCATTACACACCATTGTTAAGATAACTACTTGTGTGAAAAGGTGCATAAAGTGTGTACCTGGTCAGGTGAAGGAGGAGGAGTGCTCATCATCCTGGAGACGTCAGAACGCGGAGGGGTCTGAAACCTGGGAATCTGAATGAGATGCATTGATGAGTAAATATCCCAGAAAAACTAACTGGGACAGATGTGATAACAGGTTTAGGCACCAATGTGAACATGTGAGTAAAGGATGAAAATACCTTCTGTGCTGGTGAAACTGTGGGAGTGGAGGCTTCCAGGTCTATCCTGAAGGGTCTTGGTGGTGTAGAAACCTGCACAAGGACCAGTGTCATGAACAGGAAGTGTGAAATAGAAAAGCGTAGACTGCAAACATGTTGTGAAAGGAAAAATACCTTTCCGGCCACTATTTGGGCCCAGGAGGGAGCTTCTTCCACCGGGGATGTAGGCATCGCTGTAGTGGCAGGCGGAGCCGCCGTCGTCGCTGGGGGAACTGCCTGGTGAGACAAAGAAGAAGGAGTTAGAGTACTTACCTGATCAGGGGATGGCTCAGAGCTGTCAGGTCTGGCCTGCCGTCCCCTGAAACGACGAGCCCGACGTTCAGCTCTCTGCAATGACAGAAGTGTGTAAAATATGTAGAATGTGATGAACAGAGTGTGAATAACATGATACAACATTAGAGAGAAACCCGTCATGTGGATAATCTACTAGTTAAATAAATGAAGTGGAACATGTTTCTCATTAGGTATCAGCACCAACCTTCTCCTTGGGCGCTCCTTCCATCACAGCAGCAGGA